ATTTACGACTCTTCTTTTAGGTCGAATATGTTTACAAGCTGACCATTGTATTATATTCCTTTTTATATTTCGGCGAGAGTAACAGTAAACCGGCGGCTTAATTAAAAATGGAGACAATCCGCGGCGAAAATAAAAGAAGGGAAGGACTTTAATATTTAAATTTACGGCGGAACTCGGTTGTAACCTTTTTTTATCAGATTTGCAAAATATGGCTCGAAACGAAAATTAGGGACTTGTATGCAAGGTGTGTACCGAATTTAATAACGGCAGGTGGGCGAAGGGGGTTGCGTTTTGTGATGCTACTTCCTTGGGGGGCAGTGACGTTCGTTTGGATTACAGGGTGTTTAATTGGAAAGCACACACCCCTATTAATTTTTAACATTACAAGCCGAAACGTCAAATAAAAAGTGACCGTAAGATCGAGATTGGGGTTTATAATCCAAGAAGACGGAACTCAAAATAAAGTATTGGGATCAAGAATCCAGAACTGTAATTCCAACCCCAAAATACAAAGCTTGGATTTTGGAATCGGATTCGGAATCCACAATCCAGAATTCGAAGTCCTTCACTTCAAAGCTAAGGAATCTCTGATCCAGAATTTAGTATTTACCGTCTAAAATGTAGAATTAGGAAATCGGAATCCAAGGTCAAGGAGCTAGACTTGACTTGGGAGCCTAGATCCTAACCCTATAAAATAAAATAAAATAAAATTAGGAAAACCGAATCCAAGGTGCATAAATAAATAAATAAACTACGACCTAAGATTCAAAAGTTGGGATTTAGTAACTAAGATCAAGTATCTAGACATGACTTGACTTGTGAGCCTAAATCCTAACCCTTCAAATGCTAAATCTGTCACACAAGGTTCAGGATTCAGTTCCCATGTTCTTGGATCCAGAATTTAGATTTAGAGGTTTAGAATTCTGAATCCCAATCCCCATATTCGGGGGTTCCGGTTGTAGTGCCCAAAATTTTATGTCCAGAATATGATTTTATGATTTATTGTAAAGAACGTTGCAAAATGCAAAGCTTAGATTTTTGAATCGGATTCGGAATCCACAATCCAGAGTTCATAAACCTTCAATTTAAAGCTGAGGAATCTCTAATCCAGAATTTAGTATTTACCGTCTAAAATGTACAATTACGAAATCGGAATCCAAGGTACATAAACCCAGCACTTAGAAATAATCTAGGACTTAGGATTCAAAGGTTGGGATTTAGGATCCAAGGTCAAGTATCTAGAACTGACTTGACTTGGGAGCCTAGATCCTAACCTTTCCAATGCTAAATCTGTTACACAAGGTTCAGGATTCAGTTCCCATGTTCTTGGATCCAGAATTTAGATTTAGAGGTTTAGAATTCTGAATCCCAATCCCCATATTCGGGGGTTCCGGCTGTAGTGCCCAAAATTTTATGTCCAGAATATGATTTTATGATTTATTGTAAAGAACGTTGCAAAATGCAAAGCTTAGATTTTTGAATCGGATTCGGAATCCATAATCCAGAGTTCAGAATCCTTCAATTTAAAGTTGAGGAATTTCTGATCCAGAATTTAGTATTTAACGTCTAAAATGTACAATTACGAAATCGGAATCCAAGGTACATAAACCCAGCACTTAGGAATAATCTAGGACTTAGGATTCAAAGGTTGGGATTTAGGATCCAAGGTCAAGTATCTAGAACTGACTTGACTTGGGAGCCTTGATCCTAACCCTTCCAATGCTAAATCTGTTACACAAGGTTCAGGATTTAGTTCCCATGTTCTTGAATCCAGAATTTAGATTTAGAGGTTTAGAATTCTGAATCCCAATCCCCATATTCGGGGGTTCCGGCTGTAGTGCCCAAAATTTTATGTCCAGAATATGATTTTATGATTTATTGTAAAGAACGTTGCAAAATGCAAAGTTTAGATTTTTGAATCGGATTCGGAATCTACAATCCAGAGTTCAGAAACCTTCAATTTAAAGCTGAGGAATCTCTATAATCCAGAATTTAGTATTCAGCGTCTAAAATGTAGAATCAGGAAATCGGAATCCAAGGTACATAAACCCAGCACTTAGGAATAATCTAGTACCTAGGATTCAAAGGTCAAAGTAGTCCAGCTTCTGTATTCTAATCTAGACTTCGGAACTCAAGTTTTTGATTAAGAACGGTACATTTTGCGCTCTAAATTTTGGATTTTGGACCCATCTCACCCCAAATTGTTAGTTCCTTACCCGAGGTTTTGGAATCTGGAACATGAACCAACAAGAACCAACAAAAAAACCAGATCCTAAAGCACGGGTATTCAAAGCTTTAGCATTTTGGATCTGGGTTTGAGTTCTAAATTCTAGATACCTGGAACCGGAAGACTGTTACTGTAATCCCTATTCCGTACCCTAGATCTTGTACAAGAGATTCTGGACTTTGGACACAACTGGAATTCGCTGCTACATTCTCTATTTTGAAACCTGCAGTCCTTTCACTCCGTAATCCTAATGCCTGGGCCCAGATCCTGAATACTGAATCGGCATGCACAATCCACAATTCACAGCCTGAGCCCGGGATTCCGAGTTCTAGTCGCAGCCTAGGAACAATTACCTAATTCTGGAATCAGGATCTTGACTATCAGACCCCAAATATCGCGACTGGGACTAAATTCAATCAAGATCAATCTTGGACTGTTGCTCTTGGATTTTCCCAATTCTATACCTCAAATCGCAGAGATCAGGTAGATTCTGAACGCCAGTATTAGAATGTGGTTGTGAGGTGGTGAATCCAGGGTCCGAAGTCAAGGATCTAGACGAAGAATCTAGGGCCTAGGGCATTTGGGATACGAGATTTAAAAAAAATAGGAAATTAGGATACAGGGTGAAAAATGCAAAGATGCCTAGATTTTGTAATCGGATTTGGGTTCCAGAACCTAGAATTCAGAGCTCGTTAATTCAAAACCTAAGAACTAAGGAAGCCATGGTCCAGAATTTAGTATTTGAGGTTTAAAGTGGGGAAGCGGCAGATCGGAATCTAATTCATATTCCAACATACAGAATCCAATCACGATATTTCAAGATGGATCTTAATGGTGCACTAGTCCAGTATCTAGGCGTTATAATTTATGATCTAGGATTCAAAAGTTACAATCAAGGGTCCAAAGTAAGGAATCTAGAGCCCTAACTCCAGATTTCAGGATACGAGATTAAGAAAAATCTGGAAATTATAATAAAGTGCGTAATACAGGCTTTGGAATCGGATTCGGGTGCAGAATCTAAAATCCAGAGCTCCTTAATTCAAAACTTCAGGTTTATACTAAGGAATCCCGGATCCAGAATTTAGTATTGTCAATCGATTTCAGGGTCTGTAATTTGAGTTCATGAATCAAAAGACCACAATCGAGAATCGAAAGTTCGACCCGAACTCAAAACCTAGAATCTCTACGGTATCCTGGAATCTGTATTTCGAATTCGGGTCCGGGAACAGAGATTCACACTTTAGGTTCATGAATTCAGGGTTCAAAATTTGGTATCCAAGGCTGTAGATTGACAAATTTAGCGCCCATGGTTAAAGATTTGGTGTCTGGGAAGAATACAGAGTGCAAATACCAGAATCCGATGTCGAGCCTTAATAATTTTGAATCCAGACACCAGAATACTGAAATTCAAAATACTTGAAACAATCTTTTCAAATGTTGGTTTCTTAACCCAAGATGCTTGATCCTGGGCTCAATTTTACAACCTGAAATCCGCATCCATACCCCAGGGCCACAGTTTCTAGATTACAGAATCCGAATTCGGCTTTCAAAACATAGATTTCTGATCCGATAATGAAGTTCAAATTATGCGTTGCTCAATTATGGGTGCAGGTCTGAATTCTGGTTCCAGGTTCCAGAATGCAGGATTCATTACACAAGATCGTTGGTACTGGACTGTAGATCCTGAATTCTGGATTCGGGACAACGAATGCCCTGAATAACGCAGTCCGAACTCGTGGATCGGATACAGGAGCCTGAAATTCTGAGCTCTGGGTTTCCAGATATACTTAAACGTGGATTGTGAGTCTATGGATAGTAAATTGTAGGTTCCGAAGTTTCTCCTTTCGACATTGGACCATTACTTAGGTGTAATTGATTTAAGATTCCTTACCCTGGATCCTGGAATTTATATTCTAAATGCAGTATTGTAGGTTTTGAATTTTGAACCCTAAACCAAGTCTGAATTCTAGAATATAGATTTGTAATACCAGTCCCTGAATTTCGATACCGGACCATGGATTTGGAATTCTTGTTTACCAATTCTGGATTTTAAGTCTTGGATCTTCACATCTACATATTTGTGTATTGTGCTTTTTAGTCACTCTCGATTATTTCATTGCATTTCATTTTATTTGCTTATTTGGGGCTGTGAGTAATCAAGAGGGAAGTGTGCTTGTTTAGAGGGGATCGAGTTATTCAAGCTTATACGGGCCTTGGTGAACCTAACACTAACATTTTCACTCGTTCCGAAACCCAACAACTTTAGCCCACGTCTACAGGCACCCCACTGGGCCTGGGTAATCCTACCGTCCGGCGAGGCATATTTAATATCTCTTAGTTTTGTCGGATGTATGTGTTGTAATACCTGGGGAATGGTTCGATTCCATTTTGGTTACTCATAGCGTGTTTGTAGTATTTACCCCGGTTTCGAGAGAGCTCAAAAGTGCTGTACATTAGATGTTAGCTGTACGCTTTGTTCATTATAGGACTACTCCGAATTAGGTTTAGTGGGGTACGACTCATTCACGGAGACAGATGAATCGTTGCCAATGTTCTGCTATTGCAATTTTGAGAATAGAAGTTTATGCAACGCATTCAGGCACTTGACACCGTAAATAACTATTTTAAAGCAGAGAAGTACTTCATTCGTTTCAATTATATCAAATTTGTTCATATAAATGGGCACTTATTCCTACGGGTTACGATCGTAAGGCGATTTAATTTAATAGGAAATGGCATGCTGCAGGTTATCTATTCGAGCTTAAATCCTTACCCAAAATTTCCACCGTATGCGTGATTTCCCGCGGTTCCAATGTTCCAATCTGACAAACGTAGTCCCCGGCATCCTGCGGTCCTACATCCTTGATCTCTAAATTGTATCCGTTAACCAAACTGATACGAGGGTCAGGGGAGACCTTTACGTTTCCTGCCGAAAGTACCGCAATGCCTCTTTTCCACGCCAGCACGTAGTGCCCTGAAATTTAGATAAAGTTACATATAATCGAGAGGGAGCGAGAGGGGTTGGCGTTTTAATTATTAATTCGTTTTTGTTGCATAGTCAGAGAATATCACTTTTTTTAAATGCCCGAGACATATTTATGAAGTTCATTATTTCACAAACATTTCCCGCTCCGTCGTGCGGTTCAGCGAGCGAGACCGAGAAAACTGGCGAGACAGAGACAGTGAAACCAATTAAAGGGGATGAGTTATGTTCATAATCTGCGTAAAAATGCTGTTACCAAACCGAGGTGCTTTAAAAAAGCTCGCCACTATTTCAATTTCCTGCGTATTGGTTATTTCGATAATTGCAAAAAATTAATTAAGCCCCAAATTTCTTCTGAGGCGCACACGATAATTAAAAACAACTTTTACGTTGTGCCCACCTCTTTTTTGGTTAGAATTTTAATTAAACCTTTACGTAAAAGTGCAGTCTGTATAAATCAAATGTGGAAGCCGACAGACAAATAAACGAGCGTAAAGGGAGTTTTTGGGTAAATAACCTAGCGAAAAAGGAAGACGGTGAAACGCTAGAAACTGTAAATTGCGTACAGAAGAGGAATTGGCGATACACGATTGAGATTTGGCATGCAAATACATCATTCCATTACGGTCTCGGAACGTGAGCGAACTATCTTCTATTGCTACCCTTCATTCCAACAGGGGTATTTCTAGTACGTTCAAGTGGTCACGTCAGCGCTAAACTTTCCTTGCTTAAATTAGGATTGGCGGTCGAATCGATTGTCGACTATCTAGACGTAACCAACTGCATCGCTTGCGCTATGTTTATTGCAGCAAGTTGATAGATTTTGAATCTTGCAAGAATAATAACGGAACGCTAAGAAAGCAAGGCACTGGGTTTCTCAAAATTACGAGAGCATCACATGCTCTGCCGAAAGTCGAATCAATATTACACCCACCGTATGGGTTAGTAACGTCTAGATTCGTCGTTAATTTTGGAAGCTTCTTTACTTGTTGATTGTTTATTTACATACAACGTTATTTGAAAAACGACCACATCACGCGTTTAAATTTTCCTTTGATTAAAACATCAAATATAAAGAATAAATCAGGCGTAAACGTAAATAACTTTATGCGTAAACAGCCTCGAATGTTGTAACCTTTATGTTCCCGTGGGCGCGCAACTTCAGCGCCATTTTAAAATTGAGATAAAAGTCATACAAAATAAACATAAGAGAATGGAGCACGCGTAGGGAATACTAAGTACGTCGAGTTCCAATAACCATTTATTTCATAATAGAAATAATACCTTTCGTCCTTTATTATTTAACGACTCAGCGCACTTCGTACCTTTCGTTCTTCCGCGTATTTTACCAAAAGCACTCTGTCGCGCATTGCGCAAAAAACCTCTTAGCCACCGCAGTTTTATTGCAACCCTTGGTAGTTGTAACCGGCAAGAAGTAGCATAATCTATCAGTCTAATTTGCACACTAATGCTTCCGCATGCATTTTGCAAATGCGAGCACTTTGATGTTACCAACTCATATGGGTCGGCAATGATGATCCATTTTTAAAATTGGGAAGATTGGTATTGAGCTTGCAAATTTGTGAAATAAAGGAGGCAATTAGAAAAACTCAAAATGAGGATAGAGAAACCGGCTCAAGTTTTCTTAATGAGCTATCCCTAGGCAGTAATTGTCGGAAAATGTATAAACAACGGTTCTAAAAGTTTCATTATAAACTTTGATGCAATTTTAAGCGAAAGCGACTTGGGTTAATCGTGCTTTATTAAAATTTGCGGGAGTTTGTTTCTTAGGAAGCTTTTTCTAGGTTGCGTGTGTTTATGTAAAAAGCTCCTAATTTGGCGGTAGCACAGTTGGGTTTAAAAGTTTGAAATTTCCGATTCTCACACCGAGGATTTTACGCGACCGGTTGTTCTGAGGTAAATCATCAGAAAAACGTTGCCCGTAATGAGCTTCTCGAGCTTTCCTCGGGCTATAAACGGATATCTGTAGTACACATTGGATAATAACTAATTGGCATCAGGAAACCAACCGATCTCTTTAAAAACATTTTGTGAAACGAATACGAATAAGCTGCCTTGTCCCCCTCGGAGTTATTATTTCGATTCATATCTCCCCCAGATGTAGTTTTTAGTTTTATGGTACTTGTTGCCTTAATGTTATCCTTCAGATTCGTAAAAACAAATGTATAATGCTTCATCAGATATCAACTCATATGGCTCATCTATGCGGAGAGTTAATTTATTTATTTATTATTATCTTGTTCTGAGCCCTCAACAGGCTTCCGCCCAATTGAGGAGTGACCCGCATAATGCTCTTTTTAGAGATGCCTCTGAGGTAATTACCTTACGAATTAGGAAACTGCAGGAAAACCGAATTCGGAGTAGCCGGCAGAATGCTCGATAGTGGTCTAAGGTAATTCCCATCTCTGCCACAGATAAAAAATTCACCTCAACCCAGGTTCGAACACCCGACCTCCGGACTTATAGCCCAACGCTGTACCACTGAACCATAAAGCCGGTCAATTTAAACAATGCGCCTCAATATAATGTCACAAATGAATGGTATGTTGTGAAGCGGATAGGTTTGCAATGCGACTTTCAGTCATCCGAGGCTACTTCAAGCTTTTTTAAATTCAATGCTCAATAGCACCACCTCACCGTTTCTTCAGATTTTGCTATTTCATAGAGCACATAGATCATTCTTTACGGTAGATTTTTGTCATTCTGCTCTGTAAATTCTGTAGATTCTGTAGATTCTGTAGATTCTGTAGATTCTGTAGATTCTGTAGATTCTGTAGACTCTGTAGGTTCTGTCGAGTCTGTAGATTCTGTAGATTCTGTAGATTGTGCAGATTCTGTAGATTCTGTGGATACTGTAGACCCTGTCGATGCTGTAGATGCTGTAGATTCTGCAGATATTCTGTAAAGATACTGTCGAAATTCTGTAGAGATTCTGTAGAGATTCTGTAAATTGGGTAGGAACTGTAGGCTCTGCAGATTCTGGAGATTCTGTGGATTCCGTAGAGATTCTGTAGAGATTCTGTAGATATTCTGTAGAGATGCGGTAGAGATGCTGTAGAGATGCTGTAGAGATGCTGTAGAGGTGCTGTAGAGATTCTGTAGATTCTGTAGAGATTCTGTAGATGCTGTAGATTCTGTAGAGATTCTATGGGGATTCTGTAGATTCTGTAGGGATGCTGTAGAAATTCTGTAGAGATTCTATATAGATCCTGTAGAGATTCTGTAGAGATTCTGTAGATTCTGTAGATTCTGTAGATTCTGTAGATTCTGTAGATTCTGTAAATTCGTAGATTCTGTAGATTCTGTAGATTCTGTAGATTCTGTAGACTCTGTAGGTTCTGTCGAGTCTGTCGAGTCTGTAGATTCTGTAGATTGTGCAGATTCTGTAGATTCTGTAGATTCTGTAGACTCTGTAGGTTCTGTCGAGTCTGTCGAGTCTGTAGATTCTGTAGATTGTGCAGATTCTGTAGATTCTGTGGATACTGTAGACCCTGTCGATGCTGTAGATGCTGTAGATTCTGCAGATATTCTGTAAAGATACTGTCGAGATTCTGTATAGATCCTGTAGAGATTCTGTAGAGATTCTGTAGATCCTGTAGATTCTGTAGATTCTGTAGATTCTGTAGATTCTGTAGATTCTGTAGATTCTGTAGATTCTGTAGATTCTGTAGATTCTGTAGATTCTGTAGATTCTGTAGATTTTGTAGATTCTGTATATTCTGTAGAGATTTTGAGGAGATTCTGTAGAGATTCTGTAGAATTTCTGTAGAGATTCTGTAGAGATTCTGTAGAGATTCTGTAGAGATTCTGTAGAGATTCTGTAGAGATTCTGTAGAGATTCTGTAGAGATTCTGTAGAGATTCTGTAGAGATTCTGTAGAGATTCTAGAGATTCTGTAGAGATTCTGTAAATTCTATATATTGGGTAGAAACTGTAGGCTCTGCATACTCTGCAGATTCTGGAGAGTCTGTGGATTCCGTAGAGATTCTGTTCAGATTCTGTAGAGATTCTATAGAGAGCTTCTGTAGAGATTCCTGTAGAGATTCTGTAGATTCTGTATTCTGTAGAGATTCTATAGAGATTCTGTAGAGATTCTATAGATTCTGTAGAGATTCTGTAGAGATTCTATAGAGATTCTGTAGAGATTCTGTAGATTCTGTAGAGATTCTGTAGAGATTCTGTAGAGATTCTGTAGAGATTCTGTAGAGATTCTGTAGATTCTGTAGAGATTCTGTAGAGATTCTGTAGAATTCTGTAGAGATTCTGTATTCTGTAGATTCTGTAGAGATTCTGTAGAGATCCTGTAGAGATTCTGTAGAATTTCTGTAGAGATTCTGTAGAGATTCTGTAGAGATTCTGTAGAGATTCTGTAGATTCTGTAGAGATTCTGTAGAGATTCTGTAGAGATTCTGTAGAGATTCTGTAGAGATTCTGTAGAGATTCTGTAGAGATTCTGTAGAGATTCTGTAGAGATTCTGTAGAGATTCTGTAAATTCTGTATATTGGGTAGAAACTGTAGGCTCTGCATACTCTGCAGATTCTGGAGATTCTGTGGATTCCATAGAGATTCTGTAGAGGTTCTATAGAGATTCTGTAGAGATTCTATAGATTCTGTAGCTTCTGTAGAGATTCTATAGAGATTCTGTAGAGATTCTGTAGATTCTGTAGATTCTGTAGAGATTTTGAGGAGATTCTGTAGAGATTCTGTAGAAATTCTGTAGAGATTCCGTAGAGGTTCTGTAGAGATTCTGTGGAGGTTCTGGTAGAGGTTCTGTAGAGATTCTATAGAGATTCTGTAGATTCAGTAGAGATTCTGTAGAGACTCTGTAGATTCTGGGGATTCTGTAGGAACTAGATTTTGAAAAACGGCTGTCACTGGCCCCCTTGAATGTTATTTGGCTACTTTTTCATAAAGGAAAAGTTATATCATTCAATTTGATTTTTTAAATTTTTTTAGGATTTTGGGTCCT